GGCAACTCTGTACCTCATCCATCCTTTCTGGAGGAGCTCGGAATATGCTACCATAATGTTTCAGAGTATCCTGAAAAAGTCCGAACAAATTATATGCAGAATTGAATATTCTATGAACAATGTTGTCCTTCTGCCAGCCAATTTGGCAAACACAGACACTCCCCCTTGAATTCAGGTCCGTCTACTCCCTCTAAAATCATGGAAAAATGTGTTTTGAATAGGGAATATATGATAGTTTTGAATTACTATGGTCCCCCAAAGGTATGGAAGATCTATGAGAGAGGGTAACCAAAGACATGGTTAGGAAACATAATTAGCTATAGCAAACCTGGTGATCACCACTCATCAATGGTCTTTCCCTGGCGCATTTTTGAGCCTCCTGCTTTCCACATTAACTCTATCATCCTGAAACTTTGTGGGGAATGACATGGCACATCTGTACAAGCTTTCTGTAGTGTCTGATTAAATAATTATGTCTCTGATCCTGCTGAAATGGTCAATCAGTGTGATTTTGCTGTTATCTCAGTGGTCTGAAATGTGTTCTTGGGGGTATCTATATTTGAAAGGCCATTCTTCCTGAGTATGGGGAACATATTTGCATCAAGATCAGCTAGGAATTGAGCCCAGGAGAGGTGAAACACTAGGAGGGAACCAAGAAAAGCAGGAATATGTGTCCTGCAATTGTGGATTTGTATATTTAAAGACATGTGCCTGCAGGTGAGTACTCTACTATGTACTAAAGAGTTTCACATATGTATCAGAGCTCCAGGAAGTGCAGGAGATGAGAATTTCCAGTGCGCATTTTTGGTTTTGGAGGGGGAGGAGGAGAAGGGTGGAATAAGAAAGGCTGTAAGGGAGATATAACCAAAGAAAGGTGACAGTTCGATAGGGTTAATGTAGGGGAGCATATATGACCAGGTATCTGGGTGCGAAAGGGGGATTTTGAGGAGGGTAATGGTGTGCATTTTGGTGATTTTGTGCGAAATCAGTAATTTCAGTGTACAGCCATGAATACTGCACACGAGGCTATGTAAAATATGTCTTCTGAAAGCCCTATACGTCCCCTACCAAACCGCCAAGGTGTCCCAAGGGTCTGCTCCCTGCAAGGGGTAGAGAATCCAGTGCGCTTTGGGGCTATTTTTAGCGAATTTCACTGTTTAGGCAATTATGCACGCAGTTTTGCAGGTAATGCTGATATTCTTCGGCCAATAGGACTCAATAACATGCTTATTCATGAAAGAACACCTGTCCCAGCCAGGGGATGCATGGGAGGGGGCCCAGTGAGGCCGCATTTTCGCATTTTCGAGGTGCAGGGCATTAATTGGGCTGTGCAGCCACCAAATATGGTCAGAATCTCACGTTCGAGGGGTCTACGGAAAGCTACAAATATTCTACGATTTATGGTATTTTTTTATTCAAGAGAATCGGCCCAGAAATGAGCGAAATACGCCAGGATTACTGCCAGCAGCACCTGGAAATGAACCACCTTCCAAATGGGGAATTTCCATCACGCGCGCCTGTGCCGTGTCATCCATGTGTCCCCCTCCCAATCCAGCCTATTCCCGCCCCCCGTCGGTGGGGGAAATGGTCAGGGAATGTGCAGAATAATGAGGAGACCCCATATCCGCTTTTCCCCCACCCAAAACGGTGCCAAACGCCCCGAGAATGAGGGCAAACAGTGTCCGGGCACTGTTTCCTGCATTGTTTGGCTATGTTGACATGTCCCACACACATGGAGCAGCACCGGGAGCCACAGAAACCCTTCCACATTGTCTCAGGCTAGGGGGGACTGCATTATGGCAGTCAGGACTGACCCCGTCACACTGCTTAGACACAGTATTTGATATAGAATTCTAGCTGACATGGCTGCATTTCATGCTCTCCTGGACACCTACCCTCACCACCTCACCCACCCACCCTTTCACTTCTGGTCCCTCATCCTTACATCACACAGCAAGTGAATGGTGAGCATGCAAGTAGCGTAGGAGAAGACAACAACCGGGTTGTGAGCACGACTCGACGATGATGACAGCACGAGCACAAGCAGGGCCACCAAGGCACAAGGGTGGCGATGGTGCGAGGATGAGGACGGCACAGGCATGGCGACGTTGGGGATGGCACAAGGGTGGAGAACAACAGGGATAGCATGACGACGGAGACAGCATGACAACAAGGAGGATGGCACGAACAACAAGGAGGATGGCACGACGACAAGGACAGCTCGACGAGGACACGAGGATGGCAATGGCAGGAGCCCGAGCAGCATGAGATGGGGGTGGGCACAACTAGCACGAGGTGAGGGCAAGCATGGCCAGTACAGCGGCGAAGGCAAGTGTTACCCCGAGCAGAAATGACATGCCATGAATGCGTCATTTCTGCTCATTTTGTCTATACCTCGCAGTGGGTGGCTTTACTAGCCACCTGTGTCGTGTAATAATTTTATTTCAATTTAATATAATTTTTTGTCATTTTTTCAAGTGTGTCCAAGCTTGCTGGATGCCATTGTTCTAAAATTAGAATGACATCCAAACCACCACCCGCCCATCCACCCATCCCGCCCTCCCCTGAGGTGGGCAAACACCGGAAATGGGTAAGAGGACATCCCGACATTATATTTCCACAAGATGGGCCTGCCCGCTGTCCCCAATGGCGAGCTAGAGGCCAGTTACATCACTGGGCATCTCAGAGAGGCATTCTCCTGCATTGTACCCAATTTGGAATCCTTCCCACACCCTGTCCCACCCCCCATGATGACAAGCACCCTATTCAATGTCCCCAAGCATTGTTTGGTCATTGTTTAGTGTCCCCACAGCTTCAGGGACAGCAAACAATGACCAAACAATGCTTGGAGGTGTTGAATAGGGTGCTCGTCGTCGTTAGGGGCGGGATAGGGCATGGGAAAGCATCCAAACCGGGTGCAACACAGCAAATGGCCTTGCTGGGATGCCTGGTGGTGTAACTGGCCTCTAGCTTGCTGTTGGGGACAGTAGGTGGCACCAGTCTTTGGAATTATAATGTCGGGGTATATTTCTACCTATTTTAGGTGTTTGCGTGCCCTACGGAGGGCGGGACAGGGTGGATGGGTGAGCAGGTGGATGGATGATGTTCTATTTTTAGAATATGACATCTGGGGAGCTCGGACACACTCCACACAAAAAAAAAATCACAAAAATCATATTAAATTGAAATAAAATTATTACATGGTGTGGGTGGCTAGTAGAGCCACCCACTGTGAGATATAGACAAAGTGAGCAGAAACGATGCACTATGAACGTGCCATTCCTGCTTGGGGGACCTGGCTGGCTCGCCCTTGCGTCATGATAGGGCACACTCACCTTGCACTATGCTCGCCCTCGCCGCATGCTGGTTTTGCTTGGGGTCATGCAGTGGCGATCCTGGTCCAGCTCATGCTGTTGTCGTCCTCGCAGCCATGTAAGCTAGAAAAATATAGAATACAAGGCAGTTTCCTAACTATGAATCTAAGCCCTGGAGGGCAATATGCTACCTTCCACTTTGGGAAGGCTCTCCTAATAAGAGGGAGGGGTTGCCAGGTGCCCGG